AAAATAACAGCATTAGGCCTGAAGAGATGCCAACAGCCTGTGTTAGCACTAATGTTGGCCACACTGCTAACAAGGTTTACAAGTTAAAATCAGGTTGGCTTGAGTTTGAGGACACCCTTATGTTCTGTACATATTACATAGCACATATAAAGGGGAGAAGCAGGCAGGTAATTTGGCGTTTGTGACTGGAAACATTTGAAGCCTCATGAGACATGAAATTTATGAATTATATCATGATTTTTTTATCTGGGTTGATAAAAATAAATAAAAAAACAAGCAAATAGACTTGGTATTATTATTATTATTTTTTTTACAAGCTTTATATGTAGTTCAATTTAGAAAATAACATTTTAATAACCAAATGCTTTAACAGTTTTGTTTCTTCACAGGTAAAGCCTTCTACAATGCCAAGGCAATAAATTACGCAGCGTCAAATGTTATATCGGCTTTAATGTTTGGAAAACGATTTGAATATAAAGACGTGGTCTTCCAAGCAATGGTCGAAAGAGACAATGAGACAATTCATCTTACAGGAACAGCTTCCCTCCTGGTTTGTCTGATTGTTCTCTATATTTTTGTCCTTTTATTAATTTGGTTCTCATCTTCTTTAACATTATTTCAAAATGCGAACATGTCATTATACACAATTGCAGAGAAAGTAACGAGTGAAACCAAGACAACGGCACCTAACCAAGGATTTTTAATGCTTAGATTTCTAAACAAATGATTTGAAATTAAAAGAATTTCTGAGAAAGTAAAAATAAACTTTTTTGGTGAAAGAGGGTTTTTTTTTATTGCGCCAGGTGGGTTTGGTTGGGTTTAATTGAACTCATTGTCTAAATACAGCAGTTTGAATTTCCTCAAGTTGTCTTTGGCAGGTGTTAAATTTCAGTGTAATAAAAGATGGAAAAATAGAAGAAATCTGTAAGCGGTTTAAAACCCGTCATGTTCTTTTTCTGCCTTGGTCAGCAATGCAAAAGTACTTGGAAAAACACTTTTAATGAAAACATTTCTCATAAACATCTCTAATAATGTCTTATGAGCGGAGTGTGCTGCAAACTGAAGGTGTTAGACGGGAGGGAAAGAATCATTTTAAAGAAGGTTCAGAGGAGTCAAGGAAAATGGATGACCTATTTAGCTTTGAACAAGAAAAAAGCAAAAGCTGCTCACAAAAAACAAAAGAGAATGTCAAAAACATAAAATTACCAAAGTGAAAAATAAATTAACTGGATAAAAACTGTCAATTTGTTTCACCAAATAAAATATCCATCAATTTAAACTCTGAGCAGATTGTATCATAGTTTTTTTTTATTTAACTTTTACTTAACTTGTCTTCCTAATGAACCTTTCCAGATATACAACCTTTGTCCCTGGCTTGGTCCCTTCCTGAAAAACTGGAGGGATTTGATCAAGAATGTAGAGGACGGTAAGACAGACTTGAGAATGATTATAAAGAACCTGAAAGAGACCCTGGACCCTGAGGTGTGCAGATGCTTTGTTGATGCGTTTCTGATCCATAAGAAGCATCTGGAGGCAAGTGGATAAACTAAAGTGAAACCATTTCCATGCTTTAACTGTTAATCAAACAGTGATATTCACTTTTTATTCTACAGGATTCTGAAGTCTTGAATCTCCACTACCATGATGATAACCTCCTCTATAGTGTAACGAATCTGTTTGCAGCTGGGACTGACACCACTGCAACCACTCTGAAGTGGTGTATCCTTTACATGGCTAAGTTCCCTCATATCCAAGGTACAGAGACTCAACTTCAAGCTCATTTTATAGATTTCATACTAAAGCTTTTGATAATGCATCCATTACCACTTAACTTATTTTTAATGTTTTATCTAGAACGGGTTCAAGAGGAGCTGAGCAGGGTGATTGGAAGTCGACAGGTACAAACAGAGGACAGGAAGAACTTACCGTACACAGACGCTGTTATCCACGAGTCGCAGAGGTTTGCCAACATTGTTCCAATGGCCCTTCCTCATACAATAAGCACTGATATTATCTTCCAGGGCTATTTTATTAAAGAGGTCAGTTGCCTTGTTTTTTATTCCAATACATATTTTCTTTTTTGTATTATTTCTTTTTATATCTTATGTTATAGATTTAAAGCGTTACTAATTTATTTTTTGAATTACAGGGAACAACTGTGTTTCCTCTTCTTACTTCTGTCCTCTATGATGAGGCTGAGTGGGAGAATCCCCACAGCTTCAACCCTTCTCATTTCCTGGACAGTGCTGGGATGTTCATTAGGAGAGATGCCTTCATGCCCTTTTCTTCTGGTACGACTCTTGATCCTTCTAGAGTTTTGGTGCTTTATTCCGTTATTTCATAATTTACGACAACTTCTTGCAGGTCGCAGGGCATGCCTTGGAGAGAGTTTGGCCCGAATGGAACTCTTCCTCTTTTTCACCTCCCTTCTTCAGCATTTTCGTTTCACTCCTCCTCCCGGAGTCTCAGAGGATCAGTTGGATTTAACACCAGTTGTTGGGATCACTCTTGCTCCTAAACCTCAACAGCTGTGCGCTATCCGTCGTCACTGAGAAGAAGAGTTGAGATTGCTAATATTTTCTTCTATTTAAGAGCTAAAGGGCAGAATTATTGTAGAACATAAGAAAATTCAGCTTCTGATTTTTTTCAAATGTTAATCATTAAGCCTTTGAATCAGTTACTTCTCAGATTTCTCTATTCTAAGTAATTTTACAGACTTTTTTATATACACTCACATGTGTAGTAAACAAGGTTTTAGATATTGAGAACAATAACGCTAATCCACATGTAAAAAGGTGTCAAAAGAACTTTAACTTCAAGGCTTTCAATTGTCTGTCTTCTGAAGGTTTACCTCTTATATTCTGTTGTATCAATAGATTTAAAGTCTGGTTAGGTGATTGACTGGGCCATTCTATAGCAGCTTTTATTTCTATATCCAAAGTTGGGGACTATCACAGGTGGTCATCATCATTTTATTCTCAGATTTTTACTATGAATGTTTTAGCAAATTTACCCATCCATCCTTACTGTTTGTGTCTTATGCTGAGAAAGATCCATACCTCATTATATGGCCACTTCCAAACTTGATTGCTGATATTTTTTTTCTGTTAATGTACTATTACTTTCAAAGTTCTCTGATCTTTTCTGACAACTCTGTGTCCTCATTGCATCTTTTTGTCAAATGTGCTATAGCAAATCTTTTCTCCATCAATGAAGTCTTGTGCATTTACTGTGTATAGACAGAGTGGTTTTATATATGCAGACATACATATATATATTAGGGATGCATGATATAATCGGCCCCCTATCGGTATCGGCCTGTATCGGCCTTAAAACTGAATATCGGACATTGGCCACCCCACCGATATTTAACCCGATATTTGAGTTTCTACAGTCTAAAAAAAAAAAAAAATACTACTTCTTCTTCTTCCTCAAAAACTTCTTTTTTACAGACTTAAAAACTTCTAAAGACGAGGGAAAAAAATATTGATACATTAAAATATCACAATATCTTCATATGCTGATATATTGCCATTTAAAAACACCATATCAATCTCTTTTACTAATGAAATATTGCTATATGTCATTGTTATGCTACGAAATCCCCCAAAACTTCACGAAATTTTGCCATATTTTTATATGTTGATATATTGACGCGGTATCGATCTATTTTACTAACAAAATCTCACAAGAATTTGCAAAATATCACGAGAGTTTGTAACAGAACCATGAAATTTCACGAGATTTTTAAAGTAAAATAGATCGATACCACGTTTTTAAAAATCAATTTGATATCATCAATTTGATATCATCAGCATATGAAAATATATTTGAGTATATTATTTTTCAAAGTGTCAGAAATGGATAACAAAACTGCTATTTTCAATGACTACTTATTTTTGTCCAGCTTTAACATCGGTATTGATATCGGTTATCAGCTACATGAGTTTTAAAATATCTGCATATCGGATATCGGCCAAAATCCCAATATCGTGCATCCCTAATATATATTTATATATATATATATATATACACACATCAGTGTTACAGAGTATGGGCTGGAAACCTCAAGGTCAAAGTGGGAAACACCTCCAAAGATGGTAGAGAATGAGCCAAGATCCTGTGGGACCTCCAGATATAGACAGACTGAATGGTAATGGCAAACCAACCGGACATTGTGGTGGTGGACAAAAAGCAGAGGAAAGCCATTGTGGTTGACATAGCAATACCAAGTGACTGCAACATCAGGAAAAAGGAACATGAGAAACTAGAGAAATACCAGGGAAGAGCTGGAGAAAACCTGGAAGGTCAAGGCATCAGTGGTGCCGGTGGTCAATGGGGCACTCGGGGCAGTGACCCCAAAACTTGAGGAGTGGTTACAGCAGATCCCTGGAAATCAGGCATCTCTGTCTAGATGCATGCAGTTCTAGGAACAGCAAAGACACTGCTCAGAACCCTCAAGCTCCCAAGTCTATCAGGATCTTTGCTCTTCCATTCTCCATCACCTTGGGAAGTGACTCCCATTTTGACCTGGGGAGGTCTCCAGTTTCTACTCTGCACAGATGTTTCTGTACACCACACTAGCCAATATGCAGAAACAGAAACACCTTTGCAGAATACAAAAGAAAACTGGATAAATCCATGTCAAAATCCATTTTTTGCCTCTTAAAAGTTACATAAGAACAAAAAATTATTATTGAATATTTCACATTAATGTAAACTCTTTAGCAGACTACAGACAAAGAATATATTTAATCAATAATATTTAATCAATATTTAAATATGCATATATTTGGATGCTTAGGCAGGTGGCGTCACTGTGATTATCACATTTCACCGACAGGGGGCGTCCGCGCTACTTTTTTGAAAGCTGTGCGCCGGTGGTGATTTCTCAATGTGCAATGGGCTCTATGCACAGCTCCACTTCTTCCTGAATTTAAGGCAGCTCCTTTGTTTCCTGTCTTTCATTACTGGACGAACTGATTAATCCAGGTGTGTCTGGCCAGTTACTTAGGTCATACACACCTGGATTAATCAGTGCATCCAATCATGAAAGACAGGAAACAAAGGAGCTGCCTTAAATTCAGGAAGTAGTGGAGCTGTGCATAGAGCCTATTTGTTTAAAAAAAAATTTGGGTCGAAGCGTCCCTGTAAGGAGGAAATACATCAGATTCTGATTTATTGGTGAGTTTAAATAACCTTCACCTTACTATAAAAAGCCTAGTAGTGCGTACTGTTTGATATTTACAATATTATTACCTTGTTTACATGAATGTGCGTCCCTATAGAAAAACATATTTGCGATACAAACATTTTTTGTTCTGAAAAAATGTTGACACTTGTAATTCTTAAGGAAACAAAGGTTATAAGGTGGGCTGCAGCCTAATATAATATAATTCTGTTTTTATAGTTTTACTGGGTTCCCTAATAAGTCAAATGAAGCAATACTCTAAACACATCATCTTCCCATACTCTGTTTAATTTATCACAACTGTTTCTCTAGATCAGTGAGAAAATCCATCCATCCATTGGACAAAGTTTCTGTTTCTTAATTTTCTGCTCTTTTAGTGGCCATTAAAAGTAGAAAAACAGAATGTTTTAGTCTTTAGGAAAAGCACACATTAGGCTCAGTAGAAAATCATTTACTATGTGGCATCTACCCAGAACTTGTTTTGTTATTATGTGTCTCCTCTGTATCCTCAATGGCTGCTTCCAACTTACTGGGCTGCAGTGCCTCTTTTATCTTCATAACAACCATCTTTCTGGTTCTTGGCACAGATTCATCAGAACGTTTCGAACAGTCCTCCCCTCAAAGCTGCTTATTATGGCTCATTCATACTCTGTGTCACTCTGAATTTGAGCTGAAACAGAGTGTGCTGAACTTGCTTTTGAGGAAACAATCTCTTTGCTCTGCTGCAACTTTGGAAGAGACAATATGACCTATATTTCAACGTTTCCTCAAGTACAGTAAGGATCACTTTCACTTCTAAAGCGTCTGTTGTTGTTTTTTCTGAGTGCAGCTTGTCAGGCTTCTTCCTTCAGAGCTATCAAATAATGTTTGAAGATCTGCAGCACGCGGCTGTGGGTTCCCTGTTTGGGATTACTGTTCTCCTGCTGCTCCTTCACCTGCTTTACTTCAGCTCCCCAGACAGAAGGGATCCTCCAGGACCCAGACCTCTTCCTCTGTTTGGTAACCTGTTCCAGGTTGATCTGAAGAGGCTTGACTACAGCCTTTTTGAGGTAATTTGTTTTTATATATATTTGACATTTTCCAAAGTCATTTTTTGTTTGTCAGTCTCATATTTAGCTGATTTCTATTGTCAGCTGTCCAAAAAATATGGACCCGTGTTCCAGGTCCACTTTGGGCTGAAGAAGGTGGTGGTCCTGGCAGGGTACAGGACTGTCAAAGAGGCTCTGGTGAACCATGCTGAGGAATTTGGAAACAGAGACATCACACCAATATTTCACGATTTTACAAAAGGAAATGGTCAGATTGATTTATTTTTACCCAAGGTTCAGGAGTTATTGCCATTTCTCTTCAAACAAGTTGCCCTAATCTGTTTCCAGGTATTTTATTTTCCAATGGAAACTCATGGAGGGAAATGAGACGTTTTGCCCTCACAACCCTGAAAAACTTTGGAATGGGGAAGCAGATGATTGAAGAAATAATCATTGAGGAATGTCAGCACCTCATTAAAGAATTGGAACAATTTGAAGGCAAGTTTATATTTTTATACATCAGACAAAACACACATTTAAAAAATAGGTTATTAGGCTTATGTTTTTTCCCCCACAACAATGAAAAGGGTTAAACAGGACAGTCAGCAGAAACGTTTATTGTAGAAGTTTGTCATCCTTTCTGTTAGATAATGAAAATATAATATAAATAGTACGTTTTATAAAAAAAATTATACATTTATTTATCTTGCATGTATTTCATATTTCAAACAATAAATGTTCTAAGATTGCATTTTATTCCTGTCCAGATTATTATAGACTAGATTCTTCTTTAAATCAGATGTTCTTTTGCAAAAAAACAAACTTTGTTAGTGCTTTTAAGTAAAATGTAGAATACTATATTAATATTGGCCTGATATCAAGCAAAAAAATCAGATTATATCAGCCTGCAATTAAAAACTCCTATATTGCTGTATGTATATATATATATATATATATATATATATATATATGTGTGTTTATGTGAGCTGTTGGTTATTAATAAATGGTTCAGTTATCATACCTGTCGTTGCTATTCTCTGTTTGCATAGTGTCATTTGATCAAACCTCTTCATACATTCCACATTACAAAGTAATTATTAAAAGTATGCATGATGCATGTTGATATCTTATCGGGCCAAAATCGGTATCAAATGTGCAACATCTACATTGGATGGGAAATGAAAATGTATTTTGAGAAATCCCTACATCTTGGTGTGAAAAAGTTGATGCACGAATACATTTCACGACACTATAACATATCATCCTGAAAAATTTTAATGTAAAAAGGTCTTGTTTGTGACTTTTTGATTTTATTTCTAACAGGTCAAGCCTTCAGCAACACCCAGCCTATCAACTATGCTGCTGCTAATGTTATAGCAGCCACCGTATTTGGTAAAAGATTTGATTACAAGGACCCGAATTTCCAAGCTATGGTGGATAGAGATAATGAGATTATATATCTGACAGGAACAGTTTCCTTGTTGGTATGAATAAAAAGCATTGTTTTATAAGAATATGTGCATAATAACAAGGTTGTACCATTGGTTTTGGCATGGCTGTTAATTTGTCCTGATTAGTTTTATTTTACGATTCTTTTCCAGATATACAACTTTTTCCCTTGGTTGGGTCCTGTCCTTAAAAACTGGAAGAATTTGATGAAGCATGTGGAAGATGGGAAGGCGGATGCAAGGAAGATGATAGAGCAGCTGAAGCAGACCCTGGACTTGGATATCTGCAGATGTTTTGTTGATGCTTTTTTGATTCACAAAAGACATCTTGAGGTGAGAAATCCAACCTCAAGAACTTTGCACTAACAGTGCAAATGCAGATGGGTAATTTATTTATTTTTTGGATGTTGCAAAAGGATTCTGCCATAAAGAACCCACACTTCCATGATGATAACCTGCTCTACAGTGTGGTAAACCTATTTGCAGCTGGAAATGATACGACAGGAAATACGCTGAAGTGGTGCCTCCTTTACATGGCCAAGTACCCTCACATTCAAGGTTCTAAAACAAACATTCTTCAGGTGATGGTTTGCTTATTAAACATTATGTAGTGTGGTGATTTGCTTTCAATGTGCATCCAGTGCGGGTTCAGGAGGAATTGAGCCGGGTGGTCGGAAAGCGGCAGGTTAAAGCGGAGGACAGGAAGAACTTACCGTACACTGATGCGGTCATCCATGAGTCACAGAGATACGCTAACATCGCGCCGATTGCTATTCCTCATTCAACCAGCAGAGATGTGACCTTCCAGGGCTACCTTATCCAGGAGGTCGGCTCTTTACATTAAACTTGGCTGTTTTTGTTTTTTTTAAATCTCATATTTGAAGAAATTTGACAGATTTTCTTTTCCCCTCTCAGGGAACTACAGTGTTTCCTCTTCTTACTTCTGTTTTATACGACGAGAGGGAATGGGAGAATCCCTACAGCTTCAACCCGTCACATTTCCTAGACAGTGAGGGTAAATTCATCAGGAGGGAAGCTTTCCTGCCCTTTTCTGCAGGTACTCTGCAGATCATTATATTCGTTTGAATTAATGTTTCACAGGCAGCATTATGTGTAATGATTTCTCTGGCTGTACTACTGTAGTTACTTTGCTGTTGGTTTCAGGTCGCAGAGTTTGCCCTGGAGAGAGTTTGGCCAAAATGGAGCTCTTCATCTTCTTCACCTCTCTCCTTCAGCACTTTAATTTCAGCCCAGCACCTGGGATTTCAGAAGATGAACTGGATTTATCTCCTGTTGTGGGCTTCACCCTGTCCCCTCAGCCCCAGAAGCTTTGTGCCTTTCTTCGCAAGTGAAGAATAAAGCTGATACTTGGACAAGGTACTTTGCATATGTAGGAGGCACTTCTTTACCACAGCTGAGCCCCTTTTGTAAAGGACTATATCTGCGCAACTATAGCTGTATAAAGCAAATTTATTGGATCTTAAGTCTTCTTGTACATGAAGACTGAATAAAGCTGCATATAAAATCATACACATCACCAAAGTAATAATTAAACACTAGTCTTTGGTAGTTCTAGATGTATAAATTACAAATTCTGAAATTATTTTCAAAGGTTTTATTATTTTTCTGTTTGTATTCATTTATAATCTTTGCCCTAGCTGAAACAGACTGGAGACACTTTAGTGGATGTGACTACTGGCACATAGTTGAAATTCTCCTCCTGCCTCATTTAGTATCAGAGGGTAAAAACAGCACGTTCTGTACTTTTCCTTGCTTTTGTCAGATGAAATCAAGTTCATCTCTTGAGAGCGTGAGTCAGGACAGGGTGGAGCTAAACGGCTTCCTTCCACTTTTTGTTTTGATTGGCTCTCTGATATAAAGTGGATAAACTGGATCCAAAACCAGCTGTCACCCTCCCTCATGATTTGCAGATTACCTACTGAGCTCATTGTGAATTTCGGGTACCGACCTACCGACTTTGTGTCGGGACTAACTCAATGCTACGGGCCGGCCCAAGGCAAAAGAATATTTCATAGTTTTTTTGCATGTATATTAATTTCTTTATAAATATTACAAAACACAATTTACATAATCAAAAAATGCATTTTTTACAAAAAAAATATAGTTAACAGTTTAGAAATTATTACTTATACATTAAAAAAACAAAACATTGAGAAACGACTAGTATAAGCTTCTCGGAGACAAACTAACCGTTGCAGAACAAAGGTAAGCTTAAAATGTTACAGTTATTTGATTTAATTATATACTTTTTTTTTTTCACAATTTAATCTTTGTCAAAGCTGTTGTATTTTGTTTGCTTTTGTTCTTGTACTAGTTGGAAACAAAGTATAAACCATGTAACACTTTTACAATAAAGAAGCTGCATACTGGTTACCTTTATTAATTGTATCAATGCTAAATGACGCATACAAGTAGGAGACCGTAAACATCACTGCTAGATGCTTTTAGAGAAGGTGTGTTGGTGATCTGATCATTAGCCTGTTGATTATAGCAATAGATATAATTTGCATAAATAGAGGGCCCCAAAATCAACAGTTGTTTAGGGTTCTATGGAGGATTGGGCCAGCCCTAAAAAAATGCTTGAATGAAGAAGTTCACAATAAAGTGCGGAGCTTCAGTGTTGCACTAAATAAAGTACACAACTATCGGACAAAATCTTGCAATGAAAAAGCAAGTAAATTGATCCCAAGATGTAGCAGATTTGCGCCGCCTGTCACAGCAGTTGGTAGCCAAGCTGCCTCCATGCAGTTTTATACAAACAAAAACAAATTGACTCTGCTCAGCATTATAGAATTGTAGTGAATTATAATCATATTATAATCATAATCATATTATAATCATATTAAAAACAAAAAAAGGAACGATAATTATGCCTGGTTGACAAATGAAGCTTCTAACAATAGTTTGAGTTGGGCTCCCTTCCTTCAGACACACCTGAAGAAACAGATTAAGGTTTGAGGCTGCCTTGTGGGACGTCTTTTAAAAACCTCTAGCTTTTAGTTGCTTTTGGAGGTATTTCTTCATCCTTTCACTGTATACATTCTATATCACTCCTTGAAATACTTACACCGTGGAGTAATAAAATTTTCTAGATCAAACTGGGGTTATTAGAGTTTCAGGCTACAAAAAATAAAAGTTCAAGATCAAGAGATGTATTGACACTGTTGCGATCCATTGTCGCTGATGTAACCGGAACTACGCCGCTCTGAAGACACAAACCACCGGCGTAGGTTTTAAAAAGACACAACTGTTTCTTCAAATCAGGGAGAAAAATCCATCCATCCAATGGACAAAGTTACTGTTTCTTAAATTTCTGCTCTTTTAGTGGCCATTAAAAGTAGAACAACAGAATGATTTAGTCTTTAGGAAAAACACACAACAGGTTCACTAGAAAATCATTTACTATGTGGCATCTAGCCAGAACTTGTTTTGTTATTATGTGTCTCCTCTGTATCCTTGATGGCTGTTTCCAACTTACTGGGCTGCAGGTCCTCCGTTTTTTACCGTTTTAACTGCAGGTAACATCTCTGTGTCAGCATTTTATTCACATTTATCTGCTGCTATTATAAACGACCCTCTCAAATGCATTAAGCCTTTAAACTTTGAACATCACGCAGACTTTGAACGCACTCTTAAACCCCTCTTCCCTTTTTTATTTCTTGAATTAGCTTATTTTCAGTAGTGTTTAGTGTTTTGCTTAGTTATTAGATATAATACTGTGTGATTGTAGCTAATAAAGGTACCATTGTATTTTTAATCCGTGGTCTTTTGTGTTCATTTTACACAGTGAACGATTTATCACTCAGGCTGGATTGACTCTTCTTTCAGTAGCATCCGAATGAGGAGAGACACATTTATTTAGTTGGTGGTTCATAACCTAAATTACTAAATTGGTGAAAGACAACTGTTTTTTTAACAGCTGGATTCAGGAGTCTAACCTTTTAGGAAAGGGGCTAAAACCCTGGTCAATAAGCAAATTACAGTTAAAATCATTCAACTGGTAATAAAAAACTAGTTTTACCCTTGATTTGAATGAATTAAATATAACTTCCAATTCAATTATTTGATATATTCATAATCTTCTGGTAAGCTGGCACAACAGTACATTGGATCAGTTTTTTTAATCTTGTATGCTGCTGCTTATCAGATAATACAAGACAAACTTATAAAAACAAACTGAAATTGTGTTAGTAAAAGGCGTAACAATTTGTTTTATACTGCGATGAAGGCAAATCAGAGTTGTATGAAAATAACAACTTTCAAATCTGTTAATCTTTTATTGTATTATATGATAATAAAACTCAAAATAAGTGATTAAAAAGCCACCTCTATGATTAATCCTAAAAACCTCATATGTACCTTACGTGACAATGCAACAACAACTTAGAAAAGACACAAGTTCAAGTTCTTTGGATCACTAACGTGGTGAAATCTAAGGTCCTTCTACCTTGATGCTACTGAGCGGCTGGTTGTGTGAAGTGGAGTTCATGACCTGCTGGCTTGACCCGCTGCAGTCCGTGAAAGTCCTCCCAGAACAGCTGCTGGAAAAATCAGCAGTTTTATTCTCTGGCGTTCTGAACGTCTGAGTTTGTGTCTGGTTGTAGGCAGAGATGTACGACTGTGTGTAAGGTGGCATGAGTGCTTGACTGGTTTGCTGTGGGTAGGCGGCTGGATATGTTTGTGTCTGAGAGGGCGTGTGATTCAGAGTAAGGCTCTCTGTGTTGCTACATGGTGGAAACCCATTTATGCTTGTAGGGCTCATCCCTGGAACTTTAAAGCTCTCTATGTTTTCTAATCTCTCTAAAGAGTTATAGCCCGGCTGAGTCTGACTGCATTGTGAAAACGGGCTTTGACTAAAAGTGTAGGTGTCTTGGCCAAAAGAGGCTGCAGCAGAGGCCGCTGGCAAAGAGGATGGTGAAGGAGTTTTGTTGAGACGCTGCGGAGCTCTGTTACAGAGTCCTGTTTTAGAGGCGAGTGTTTGGAGAGTGCTGAGGATCTGCTTTTGAATCTGTGTCTGCTGTGACTGCTCCCTCTCAAGGCGGCACTGCTGTTCCACCAGCATCTTCACTGCCAGGCCCAGGCTGCGCACCTCAGAGCCAAGGCTCTGAATGTGGTCCTGTAAACTTCCCCTTCCTCTAGTATCCTGGACTGCCTGGGGCGGATTTGGATTCCCCTCACTACGAGTAGTGGGGCCTTGATTCCTGGGGGACGGCAGGCGGAGAGTGCCAGGGGATGTCAAAGGTGCCGGCAGGCGGGTGGGAAGGCGAATCCCAATACGTGGAGGTGGGTGAAGGGAGCGGACGCTCTGTCCTGGTCTCTGTGCAGCAAGGCGTTGGGGGGAGCCATCTCCCTCTGGCTGCTCTTCCATAACATTCTGAAACAATAAAAACATGTAAGAGTATTTATGGTAAACTTGCAGGAAAAAAAATACTTGCATTTATTGATAACGGCTTGCAGGATGGGGCTATTGAGTTTATGTTTGTTCATAAAGATTCAGGATAAAAACTAAAAAACACTGATCCAAAAAATAAAAAAAGGGAGGCAATGGTATTGCTCTTAAGCCATTTAATATTTGTAGGGTTCTCACCTTTTCAGCAGTCAGATCATAGGTTTCAGACTGCTGTGGAAGAGAGCTGCTTAAACCTGAGCTTTGAACACCTGGCTGATCCCTCCTCAACAACGCTGCCACCTGGTGGAATGACTGTAGGATAGCAAAATATTAGAAAAACACCTACTTTAACAGTCTGATTAACTTTAAGGAAATCAAAAAACAGTTTGATAGTAGGGAAAACTGTTTATGTACCTTTGTCTTATGTGACAGGGCTCTGTCCAAAAGTCTTTTTCGAGCGGCTAAAATGGAACTGGTGGCTGGAGAAGGTGTGACTCTCCTTCTCAGGAATCCTCCAGAAGCAGTTAATGTGGAAGACATGTTTGGACCAGTCCCTGCTCTTGACACAGCTAACTGGGTCCCCCTTTGCTGGCCAGGCTGTGCAAGTGAGGTGACACTAACAATCTGGATGTCATTTTCCTCCTTATTTCCTGCAGGCTGCTGCTCTGACCTGCAGCTGCTTCCGCTGGTCTCCCCAGATCCAGAGGAATTTGTGTTAGTCCCTGAATTTGTGGATGCCTGTTTGGAGAACTCAGTAGAAGCTGAAAATTCAGCTCGCGGGGGCCTATCCTGTCTAATGTTCTGAAGATGAGCATTGCTCCACCTCTCTTGCATTGCTCCAGCTTGCACCTGAGGCTGTGGTGCCAATGAGCTTCCTCTGGCCTCTGGAGGTCTAACCCTCCCTGGTGGCCTCCCCTGGAACTCCCTCAGGTAAAGGTAGATGGCTTGAGCAGACACTTTGATGTTCTCCAGCTCCAGTACGGCTTTGATTTTGCGGAAACTGAGACCAGCTTTCCGCAGCTCCACCACTTTGTGTTTGGCAGCATCATCAAGTCGGCCCATACTTGCTGCAAGAGTCAGAAACATAAAAGTTACTAACAGATTTTTTAAAGCCAGTTTCCAAGGATTCATTTTTACATTTTTATTGGTTTTCATTTTTATTTAGTTTTGACCTCTGATGTCAGTTCTGTTTTACTTTCAATTTAGTTTTTATTTTAGTTTTAATCTTTTATGTAATACGACTTATCAGGGACAAGACAAAAAAAAAAAAAAACCCAACAGAAATAAAATCCAGATAAGCACAGATCACTGCAGCAACACAAATTACCCAAATGCCATCCGTAAATCATAAATCAGTAAAGTGGAAAAAAAGGCAAAAACAGCAACTGGAAAATAGACCTTATATTAATGCAGAATAATGAAGACACAAATGAAAGCTTAACATTTTCTCCCTTAAATTCGTTTTAATTTGTTTTGTAAACTTTTATTGCAGTTCAGGTTTTTTTTTATTTTTTGGAAGGTGTATTTTTTATTTCTACTTAAGTTAAAAAAATGTATTCAATATTTTGTAATGTCTGGTATTTTAAATTCTTAGAGACGAATTAAAAATGTTGGTCTCTCTATATGTGATATCTGGTTATATTATTTTTTTCATATTAATAACTACCACTGAATGGTGAAAAGAAAAAAGCTCATCTTCAAGCATGTGAGGGTAACTGCTTTAAAAAAAATTTCATTGTTTGTTCACATGTTTTTGACTAAAAGTCAGCACAATCATAGTTAAGAGTACTGGTGCAATCTGAACTGAGAAGAAGTGCATCCAGCTCTTCACTGGTCTGCTTTGTATTTTTGATATTAAAGGTCATACCTAAAATTCTTTTCAGTAAAACAGATTCATTTTCTAATTAATTTCTAATTCATCAACAGAACCTCTAGTGGATGCAGAATAAAATGATCAGTAGAGAAAAAAACTAAGTAGGATGGGTTCTTAAACCCTTATTCTAGCAAAAGTGTGAGGAGAATCAAGACTCTCCTGTTTTGTTTTTGGTTTGTTTTTATATAAGAAATAATAATCAAAATAGCTGTCAATAATTTTTGTGTCAGCAAACACACCCATTACCTTCAGAAGTCACTTAATTAGCGAACAGAATCCTCCTGTTTGTAATAGAGGCTGTGTTCAATTTCGGCGGCTGCGTCTTCCAAAGGACACAGCCTACCTGGAAATTTGGCAAAAGTTTCACTGCCCCTCACTCAACATACACTCTGTCGCCTAGCAACCATGATAGTTGACTCACAGAGCAGGAAGAGAATGGATGCCAAACTAGTTAATTGTCATTGTTGAGGAGCTTAAGTGGCAGGACATTAGTCACAGATATCACAATTCACAGATATTGGAACGTGAGCTTAAATGTCAGCCAAACCGATTTTCACAGGGACAGATAAAACCTTTCAATAAACTAAACATTATCCGCTACATATCTGACTCAATAACCATCTAAATATTCACATACTTGTATGTGGCTGATAGGTGCAATAGTTTGCGGATTCATTTATTCATTCAGTAGCCATGCATTGAGACCACATGAAGGTAACTCCATTTGCTATCCATTGTACTTGTTTTGTTTGAGTTTTTAATGAATGCTTTTTTTAATTGATAACTTTGCAGCATTTGTTTACTGTTATTTTCATTGTGTAAATGAATAAAGAAAAAAATATATATTGGCTCCAGAAATTGTCCCATAAAACAGGGCAGTGCATAGAGATGAGTTAGACTGATTTCAAAATAAATAATAAGTATTAACATCAGCCGTAAAGAAAAACAGCAACGATCAATCTAAGGACTGGAGGACTTCACAAAGTCTGCCATGGAACTATTTGCACTCAACTCAAATAATTTGCAAGACTGTGAACAATGTGAAGAACCTCCATCTGCCAAATAATGCTATTATTGCTATACATTTAGAAAAAAAAAAAAAAACATATGATTTGACCATAGTTTATAGGATCTTATAGGCGTCAAGCATTTAAATAAATTATTTTCACTATATTAAGAAAAATATTAGTGCACCTGTTCATTACAATTTTGTACTTGAATTTCAAAATAAAGGCGTATCTTAAAGAAGACGATGCGAATGTTTTAATTTCGCATCAATGTTAAATATTTAATCGATATATTGTTACACCTTTATAGCCAAGAAACCTGGGGAAACTGGAAAAGATGCAGATCCATAGTTTAGGTGGAATAATATGTTACTGGACAGCAAAGTCAAAACCCTGTTCAGGATATTTTAACGCTCTCCAAGGCACTTTAAATGAGAATAAAGTATATCTGATTATAATTTTGTATGTATCCCTGAACCCAGACTAATAATCTGTTAATAAAAATTCAGCAAGACTTAAAAGCATTTCTATATCAGCGACATTGTAATAATAATCAGCGACCACATAAACCCCAGATTTATCAGGTTTTCAAGGGAAATCCAACACAGGTCTTCTTGAAGACAATCATCATGTGCAGGAAATGGACAGAGATTATTAGCTGAGCTAGCTAATAGCAGACAAAATAAAATGCAGACCTTACCCTGCGGAAGCCTGTCAAAATTGAGGAAGCTCGTTCGGTTTTTTTTTTGCAAAAAAAAAATATATATATATTTTATTGCACCTAATAGACTTGATTTAATTTTGTATGTCTACAGCACTCTCTCATACGCAAACGCGTAATCCGTTCCTTCTCTTCAAATAACGTAAAATAAACAAATAAGCGGCGCTCAATGAGCTACGCAACTTCCGCTGTCGTCATCAATCAGCGACGTCCAGGCCGCGAGTGGTCCAAGCGAAGCCTTTTTATTCGAAAAAAGAAATGTATGTTGAAGCTCTTCTTTCATTCAAATCAAATATTTATTCTGGTATACGATGTAGTTAATCGACTGTGGCGCATTTGGCGCTCTGGCTATATTGGTGTCTGCGTTATAAGAAGCTGTGCGTTGGGTTAACGGCAGCGGCTTGTTTTCGGGAGGCGGCGAGGGTTGAATGAAATTCAATGGCGGCCTGTTTTATCCGAGTGTCGAGCTTTTTCATAGAGAAACACAACTCGATCAAATTCTGACGTGGTTATTTTTATCACACTTGCGTTATAGAACTATAATGTTTACATTTTGTAATTAAAATAATTTAAAAAAAATTGATAAATACAGTTAATGATTCAATGACCAATGTGCGCGTTCTGGTAGACGTTATTTATTTTTCAATTCGAATTGCAACACTAATAATCGAGCGAGTAAGGGGTAAAGTTATTAACTATATTTGTTTCTATTTAAAACCTAAACGTCGCTATAAATCGGTTAGGATATACACAGTCCCTGTGCAAAACTAGATGAAAAATAAATTACCTTTAAGTTGTATAAGAATTTGTGTTTGTTTCAAAGACTAATAAATATGAAGTTAATCATTTCTGAATGATATAACATATTCATACTGGCACATGTATGACCAGTATGAAAATTATTTATCAATATAGTATATAAAGAGTCCTTATGGTTATCAGTAGCACAGCGTTTTAAATGGGTAATGAAATAATGCCAAATGTATTATATGGTAAAATGTGTTAAGACTCTATTCATTAACTACATATCTTCCTGCTATAAATACATTATTACTTTTAGACCATAAGTTTCATCATCTCTTTGAGATATTTAGCATCATCATCATCATCAGTACTAAGAAAACAATGTTTTCTCTGCTGTATCAATACTTTGGAGCAAATAAAATATGCTCACCGGACCATCAGCTGTCATGATACTGGTCTGAGAAATTGGATGTACTGATTTAAAATGGTTTAAAATACATCTGGCTGAATGTTATCTTACTTGGCACTAGGTGCTTGATCTCATCATTTTGCTTTTCCTGAAGAGAAAGATGTCTTCCTGCAGCCTTTATTGTGCATTGAATAGGCTCAAAGTGCAGCTCTATTTAAGGAACTTTAATCAAGAACAAGTATCAACATTTTATTTTCACTGGATAAAGTTAACTTTTTTTTTTACAGCAAATACTATAACCTGACAATGTGGTTATGGAAAAACACTGCATAAAGATTCAAATGAGGTAAACCTCGTTAGGAGCGTTAGACTTCAGGGTTCATTCATCCATACTATCTTTTTGGATAGCTAAATTACTGGGCTAGGAAGGGGAAAAAATATTTTTGTCTTCAGTTTCTTTCCTCAGACTTAAGTTTTGCAGCCACTCTTTTCTGCTCAAGCTGATATATTTGTGTGTTCTGAGGGGGAGTGTGGGCCTAGTGGGTTAAAGTAGTGCTCTGAGAAGTACCCGGTTCAATCCCCACAGAGTAAAAACCCTTAAACCCCACACTGCTCCCCGGGCGCCACACGATGGCAGCCCACTACTCCCCAAGGGGATGGGTTAAATGCAGAGGTAAATTTCTCTAATGTTGGATCAATAAAGTTCAATATTATTCTTAGACAAAAAGCAAATTAGCATATTGTATACTAAGCACATGTAATTTTAATCTTTCCTTTTAAAACAAACTAGTGTGTTATAAATATTTAACATTATTAAGATTGAAAAAAAATTTGTAAAAACTAACAAGTGTTAGATGTGACAACTTAAGCCACTAAAAAAAATTTTTTTTCAGTTCCACTATTTCTGCATATAAGTAATTTGGATAATTAAGCTGAAACTATTAACAGTGACTATATTTGTGGAAAATGTCAATTTTTTTAGACATAACCATGAGAGAACTTGTGAGAGAATTTAATAATGATTTCTTGCTTTCATGTGTTCAGGGCACCATCACCCACCAAGCGGAAGGAAGATGATAAAACAAAAGACAGAGGTAAAGAGAAGACTGGCACCAAGGAAGGTGATAAGGAGAGAGGAAGAGACAAAGTGAGGAAACGCCGTAGTGCTTCCTCTGGTAGCAGCAGCAGCAGCAGGTTTGCATTCTTTCTGAAAGTCTTTTTGAGGTAATACCAATGCATGATATTTTTTTAAATGAAATAATTTCTATCTTCATGGTTCTGATCCAGGTCAAGCTCATCATCCAGCAGTAGCTCTGGTTCCAGCTCAGGTTCTTCAAGTGGATCCAGCTCTTCTGGTTCTAGCCGCTCTGGATCCTCAAGCTCTCGTTCATCTTCCTCCTCCAGCTCCTCTGGCTCCCCAAGCCCCAGTCGCAGGCGTCATGACAACCGCCGTCGCTCCCGCTCACCGTAAGGATTACCATAAAGTTTTCCTAATAAAAAAAAAAAAAGTTTCATAATTGGATTCACTTTTTGATCAAGTGGAATCAACATATGTTTTTTTTTTTTTTTTTAGCTCCAAAACCCAGAAGAGGGGAGATGATAAAGACCGAAGGAAGCGAAGCCCCACCCCAAAACCAACCAAGGTTCACTTAGGAAGACTGACCAGGAACGTCACTAAGGTTAGTGAGTCAAAGATGAGCTTGAGCTAGTGATGTAAACAAATAATTAAGACTATCTGTTAATGGTTTATTGGATTTGTTTCATCCGATTAATTGATAATGTTTAGAAATTTCTTTCAGTGCTGTAATGTTATTGTTGTCCTCTAGAACATGCTGCTATTCCAAGAGAATATTTCACATTAAATATGCAGAATGTGCTTCAAGATATATATATATATATATATATATATATATATATATATATATATATATATATATATATATATATATATATATATTTATATTATTTTTTTTTTTACATATTCAAACTTGATAAAAAGGATCAGACATGGCAACCATTTAACCACCTGTTTAAAGTTGCTGCTAATACAAAATCTCTCTCAGCACTGAATGCTGGATTAGGCTAAAAACAGAGATGTACATCACAATTACCATCTACTTCATTGGAGCAAGATGTCGATTGACAACATGTCTGGGTGACATATCCTGTCTGTTAAGAATAGTTTATATATTCTTATACATTAATAATCTTAAATTTTAGATATTTTGTTCATCTTTTTTTCCTCAGTAGGTTCCCTTTTTTTATGTCTGATAAATATGTCTGGTTTAATAATGTGCATGAAAACATTTTTTCATTCAGCTAGGAAGATGAAATGATAAAATCGCATATTTACAACCTTACAATTTACAACAATTCGGCATATTATAAAAATGTATTTAGGCCCTTATGTTAATAGAAATATCCTCTTGATACTAGAGAAAACTGAAGCTTTAACAAAAATTTTTGTTTATCAATGAATTGTTTGTGGATCCATAATATTAATCAAAGTCAACTTAATTGATTTATTGATAACTTACATCCCTCCATTGGATGTTTTCTTTTCCATAAAAGCTTACTCTAACCTAGCCATCAGTTGTGTTGCCATTATAGGGGTTAAAGTTGGATTGTTTATGTAAGTAATGTTTGTTGCTGCTCAGGCTCTGTCTGTTGCAGAGGTATTACTGTTTTTTTTATCAATACAGTGGAGGCCTGAATGCAATTTAAGATCCTATTAAACTGTTCACCGTAATCAGATATTTTCATTCTTTTATGATTTAAAAGTACTTCCACTTATACCATTTTTTTTTTTTATTGTTTTCCCATCATCTTAACTTTCCATTTTGTCTTATAGAACAAGGTGTCCAAGTTGTGACAAATAGAAATCCTTACATCTCTGTAACATCCTTACCTGTCAGTGGGAGAAAAGAAACAATTGCTTCAGTTGTATTTAAAAGAAGTGCGATACAGCCATAACTTTTTCCTTTTGCTTAAACTCTGAAATTTAATTGCTTCTTATGGTGACTTCACCTTGATGGAGTTGATCAAGATGTTTCTTAAGTTCCTAGTCTCATAGAACTCTCATAGCCTAGATCTGCTACTCTCCTAGCAGATCTAAAAAGCATGGCACTAACAGGTGTAGTTAATTTCAAATCTACTACGTTTCCACCTGTTTGGAGATTTTTCACCTCGATTTTGAAAAAAGGCTGCTGTGAAATAGTCAACTTTTGTTCTAAATTTGTTGTTTATTTTGAATCCTGTACCCACTGAACCAGCAGCACTCAGTCATCAGCTGACCTTTTTTTTTTTTAACATTAACATCTTTATTTTAAACAACACTTTAGAAACTTACAGATCTTATCACTTGTATAAAATAGAAGTTAAACTCTGTGGGTAGAATGCTCTTGGTTAGATCATTAAAACAACACTTTTTTTTTCTTCAAACGAATAATAAAGACTGAATAAGATGTTTAAAGAGGTTATAAGAGATATATATATATATATATATATATATATATATATATATAAAAGAAAAAAAATGCAAAACTCACCTGTGACCTCTTGGATTAAGGTAGATATATAGTCATATGTACACAATCAAATAGATTTCAAGTTCATTGACTACGGTGCTTCTTGGTTTAACAGGACCATATCCAGGAGATCTTTTCTACTTATGGTAAAATAAAGATGATTGATATGCCCATGGATAGGCTTCACCAACACCTGTCCAAAGGCTACGCTTATGTGGAGTTTGAGACTGCTGAGGAGGCAGCAAAGGCCCTGAAACACATGGATGGAGGTTAGTGTTCATTTCATTGCCTACAGTTTCCTCTGGGTCTCTGTGTTCACTATTAACCATCTTCGGCCTTGTATGTTCAGGTCAGATTGATGGACAGGAAATCAGTGCAGCTGCTGTGCTGACTCAGCGGGTTCGTCTTCCACCCCGTAGATTGTCTCCTCCTCCTCGGAGAATGCCCCCACCACCACCAATGTGGCGTCGCAGCCC